CTTCGCGGCGTGGGGGCTGCCAGCCCTGCCCCTCAGGCCGGGCGGAGCAGGGCCCGCGGAGCCGCTCTCAGGGCCCGGGGCGCTCCGGGGTCCTAGCGCCGTCCCGGGCGTGCTCTCACCGCCCCATCCCGGCTCTGTCCCTCCGGGCTACCGCGCTGTCTGCCGCGGAGCGCCCGCCGTGCCCCCTCCCCGCGCGGGCGTGGTTGTTGCCGCTGTCCCGTTCCTCTCAGTTGTCGTGGACGCTTCTTTTCGGTGCCACGGCGTTGAGTGGAGAAATCTGCAGGAAACGTTTGCTTTAGGTGCTTTGTGGTCCGGATGGAAATCGTGGAAACGTTGTGTAAAACCGTGGGCGCACCTTCGTTATTTCCTAAGGGAGAGTGGCCACAGATGTGAAGGTTGCCTTGCAGTAGTGGCTCCTGTGTTGGTTCTGGACAAGCCCAATCTAGTTTCGGTACGATTGCTAGTTGGGTTTTTTTAAAAGAAAGCCTGCAAGAAGGGAAGTTGTGCGTGCACAGCTTGGAAACACAGCAGCTGTCATTCTTGCTTAGGTTGTTTACTATTTATAGGCGATGTCCTTTGTCATCCTTTTGTAGTGGTTCTTTTTTTGGTGTAGAAGAGGTGGTGTAATCTCATTTTTTCGATGGCTGAAGGTTATCTGCGATCTTCTGAGAAGAGAGACGAGTGCTGTCTCTGTTTCTGGATTCAGAGGTATCTTTCTGCCAGCATTTACCCCTTCATAGCTGAGGCTGGAAGTGACCAGACAGAATCTACTGTGTCTCCTTGCTACGTGGCAGGACCAAGTAGGCCTAAAACTGTTCCCAGCTAATGTTTGTCTAACCTCACGTGTTGAAGATTAGCTAAGTAGATAGTGGAATCTGTCCCGTTGCTACCAGGAGCTTGCTGTAGGAGCAGGCTGCCGCTTTCTTAAAACTTCCTATCGTGTTTTGCTTGGTTTTGTCCCCAGACTGAGGTATTTGATTACTCTAAATGCCTTTTCCAATTTCCTATTCTCAAAGAGAGTTTGTGTGGTTGCAGTAATGAATGTGATCATTCTCAAGTTCAATCAATTGAATCAATAAACTTCCTGTTTCTCTCCAGGAGCCAGTGGTGCTGACAGATACGAATCTGGTTTATCCTGCTCTGAAATGGGACCTGGACTATCTCCAGGAAAACATTGGCAATGGGGACTTCTCAGTGTACAGTGCCAGCACACACAAGTTTTTGTACTACGATGAGAAGAAGATGGCCAACTTTAAGAACTTCAAACCCAAGTCGAGCAGGGAAGAGATGAAGTTTGCTGAGTTTGTGGACAGACTCAAAGAAATACAACAAAAAGGGAGTGCTGAGAGGTAAGTGGTACGTGGAGGTTTCTCCATTTCTGCAGGTCTAAGCAGGGGGTAAGTTTCTCTTCAGTGAGTGTTGATGATTAAAACCTCTCAAACTCTTCATTTTTTTTATAGCCCTGCTTTTCCTGCAGGGCTGCTACTTGACAGCAGCCTTGTTACCTGATAAAAAAAGTCATACCGTTAGTTTATCAACTGTTCACGTTGTCTGCAGAGACTTTTTTTTTTTTCTTCTCTGTCCAAGGCAGGATTTGGATAGAGAAAGCCTAAAGCTTCGCTTTCTTTTGGCAGACTATGGTATTGGTAGAGGAGCTTAGTTATCTGATTAAAAGGTACAGGCTGTAGCATTCAGCGTTTTTTACAGAATACCAAGGTAGCTGGTGCTAACCCTCTTTCAGAAAGGTCAGAAAAGGTTGCATACATGCAGTGCAATTTGTTGGTGGTAATGGCCTATACCACTAGCAGAGCTGTAAGTTACTGAGAGGAGCTTCATGTTTATACAGAATATAACTATTAGCAACTGTACTTAAACCCTCAGTTAATTTTATCAGTCACCAACCCTCTAAAAGGATTTACGGATGCTTAATTGTGTCTTAATTGGAAGCAACTCTGTGTCCACGTTCACTTGTCGTCTGCGCCTTTCTCTTCTTTCTCAGCTTTGGGTGTGCCTTTTCCAAGAGAGAAGGCAGTCCTTGAGCTTAAAAATGCGTTTTTCTTCCAGCATTGCAGACAGTAGCCTGTAATACTGCAATTGTTAATACAGATGTTTGATTCCTCTGATCCTCTATGTCTAAATGTAAGAACAGCTTTAAAGTAACTTGATACTGAAACGTGCTGGGTTTCCTGAGCCCTTTTTTGCCCTCGCGCACTTCTAGTAGAAGAGGTAACTCTTGTCGCAGATGAGTTAAAGTGGTGGCATTTATCGGGGGAATTATTCATGAGTGTGTTTGATATTTGATAGTGGCCAGTCTATTTACACTTCCCTCCTCCTGCACCATGAGGGGGTTGTTCTTGCTCTAAAATTCTCTTTTTCCCTTGTGATTTTTCAAGCAGAACTGAGTTCTGTTCCTTTCTGTACCAGGAAATCTTTTAGCAAAATTTGGGGACTCTTTGAAACTGTTTCCTTCCACAGTTGTTTATGGTGTGTGGTGATAGAACAGAATTTCTAGGAGCTCTGTCTCTTTGTTTTGAAATCTTTCTGAAGAGATGCAGGAGTATGTCTTTATGTTCATGACAAAGCTTAATACTTGATTTCTGCTTGTCTCTGGGAAAATACAGGCTATATCTGCAGCAAACTCTGAATGACACAGTTGGAAGGAAGATTGTGGTGGATTTCCTTGGCTTCAACTGGAACTGGATTAACAAGCAGCAAGGGAAACGTGGCTGGGGTCAACTGACTTCTAACTTGCTTCTTATTGGCATGGAAGGTAAGCAGTTTCCTTTGACTGGAGAAGGGGAGAAGATTCGGTCAGCAGTTCTGTATTTCAGTTCCGGAAGGTCTTTCAAATGGATTTCCCACTAGTTTCTAAGTGTTCCTTCAGAGCAGGCCATTTAAAGCTTTGTGTTGGGAGGGGACTGTTGTCACAACTTAACTTGGGTTATAGAGGGAAACAACCAAAGGAATACCTTGCATTTCCCCAGGGACGTACTGTGAATGCCTGGATGTAATCTGCTCATGAAAAGGCTCTGTGTGATGCTGGTAGGGCTGTGTTTTCAGTAATTGCTAACCATATTCTGAGACCTGTTTATTGTTTGAATGCTTCAGATGCTGTCGATTCAAAATGCTCAGTGTCTGCAGATTTAAAATGCAAAAGGGTTTGCAAGTTGAGCCAAGTTAGTCTTCTGGGCTCTTCTTAGCGTGTCCAATGTCTACCCAGGAGGAAATGTTGATTATTCTGTGAAGCATTTGTTCTTATTTGAGCTGGTACACTGTGGCGAGGAATTCTCTTTCAATTAAGAGCTGAATTTCTTCTCGGAAGGTTAGAGGGCACTGGAGAGCTTGGAAGATGGATAAATCCTAAAAATATCTGGATAGAGCGGAATCCCAAATCCATGTGGAGACTGACTCATAGGCAGGTGCCTTAGGAGACAGAGGTACTACTACGCTGTTGGAAAGGACAGCATTCTAGTAGAAAGTAATCTCAGTAACTAGGCAAGGAACATACACAGTTTTGTGAAGTGGGATGGCCTATAATCAGCGTGGCCATCACATCCAATTATAATTGTCCATTTATAATTACTTGGCAATTCGTGGCTGTTCAGTTCTCACAGCAGATGTTTTCTCCCCTTTGCAACAAGTCATACTCAACTTACAGTAGTTTGCCACTTGTTTTACTAGCTGAGAGAAGAGAACTTCATATAAAAGCACTGCGCCAACGCTTCCCTACAGGTCATAATATGATCACTAAAATCCTATTATCCACAGGTTATGCACAAGAACCAAGGAATTGTCTTGAACCAGTGTGTGCTAGAAAAAGGAGTGTCTTTACAGGAGCATGTGATTGTACAATCTATTTAATAAAGTTACGTGGTTAACTGTTATCTTAATTCTCTTTAGTGAAAATACATATAAAAAGCAAGCTAGAAGAGTAATAACCGAATTGGCAAACAGCCTGAAAAATGTAGTTGTAAGGGGTACAAAATGACCTACTGTATTTAAATATTTGATTAAATTTAAGACCTAGTGGCGACAGTCAAGCTTCATAACTGTTAATCAGACTGAAGAGGTGCTATTGGAAGCCCCAATGACAGAGATTTGTTAACTTGTTTTCTTGCAAAACTACTAGGACTTTTTTCAAAATCAGACTGTTAGTCTCCTTCTCTCTAGACTAATAATTTTTGAAAGTCCATTCCACAACTTGTCATCTAAACAGCATTTTATGAAAAAGCTTCCTGTCAACATTCACCATCTGCTGTTCATGGAAACAAGCTGGAAATCCTAATCCTGTAGAGCATGAATTGCTGAACATGGATTTAGAATGGAAATTAAGTGGGATAGCAACTGCTCAATAAAGGCTGACTGATAGAGCGATCAGTTTGTAACGTTCCTATGGTCATTTTCCTTGTTTAGTCTTCTGAATATGTGGGAGTGTATTTACTGTCATTAAGAAGGAATATAAGTTGCTTCCGTCTTTCATACCTGTATGTGAGAGTGTCTTGATTATCGTCTTTTCTCTCTGTGTAGGCAATGTGACACCAGCTCATTATGATGAGCAGCAGAACTTCTTCGCTCAGATTAAGGGTTACAAGAGGTGTATCCTGTTCCCTCCTGATCAGTTTGAATGCCTCTACCCTTATCCTGTGCACCATCCGTGTGACAGGCAGAGCCAGGTGAGAGTAGCAGATCTGTTCTCTGCTCCATGCCAAAAAAGGGCATTTGTGAAGATGCTAGGTGGGAGGAAGCTGCACTGGAATTAAAGCTGCATGCCACTTGCTGAGCTTTTGCAAAACCTGTGTTCAGAGCTGTTAACTGGTGAATACATTGAGACTAGCCGGAAGGGCTGGTGGTGGTTCTGTTTGTGCCTGGTCCCGACTTGCAAGTGCTAGGGCTAAACACATCTCCTTACTGATAGCACAACAGTTGCTGCCTTCTCTGTTCTGTTTCACTGATCGCCTGGTCAAACACAGACGTGCTCAGAGAGAAACTGCAGGACTCGTGTCTAAGTTGGTGGTACTTTGGGGGTACTGCAGGACCTCGCCACGGAGTTAAGACAGGAATGGGAATGTAACAGCCACATAGGGAAGATCAGGAGGATTTGATACTGAGAGCCAATAAAGAGGACTGTCGTTGCAGGAAGTTATTCTGAGTTTCTTAATGTTTTCTTCCATTAGGTGGACTTTGACAGTCCTGACTATGAGAAGTTTCCGAACTTCCGGAGCGTGGTTGGCTATGAGACCGTGGTGGGCCCGGGAGATGTGCTATACATACCTATGTACTGGTAAGAAGGATGGTGGGACTGCACAGTGACCAGCAAACAGAGGTTTAAAAGGTCTTCTGCTTAAAGTGTTGGGTTGGCTCTTAAAGAGAATTTTGTTTGGGCTTCTCCAACAAGTATGATATTTTCTGTGATATTTTGGGCCAATCTGCTTCTACTTCCTATCTGTTGGACGGGAGCGGTAATTCTCCCTGACACTACATTATTGTGCGAGTAATCCACTAATGTGTGCAAGAAAAGGATTTGTATTTAAATTAGGAGAACTTTCCGGAAGTTCTGAGGTCTTGATGATGGAGGTACAGGGCAAGGCTTGTCTACTGCAGTCTGAACTCATCCATCCAAGGTATTTCTCTATAAGCTACAGCAATAGTTTCTTTTCTTTTTTGTGTGGTTTCTGTGCAGGTGGCACCATATTGAGTCTCTCCTGAATGGGGGGATTACCATCACTGTGAACTTCTGGTACAAGGTGAGTACAAGCACCTTCCTGCGCAGCTTGGATAGCTCTATCCCAGAGGATTTTTTTCAGGTAGACGTGTATTAGCACATGTTGTTAATGTGAGAACTTTGTTGCACCGAATCCTTTGTTTTAAAGCTGAAAGCTACTTTCTCCCTTTCGAGTGGTGTGTGAAGAACTGGGTGGCTGGGAAAAGGTGGAATGATCTGCCAATTCAGGAAGCATGTAATGAGCTATTTTTGATATTTCAGGGTGCCCCAACCCCAAAGAGAATTGAATATCCATTAAAGGCTCATCAGAAAGTGGCGATAATGAGGAACATTGAGAAGATGTTGGGAGAAGCCTTAGGAAATCCACAAGAGGTACAAAAAAGAACCATATAGTCACTGCTGTTGAAATCATTGTGGCTTAATGCAAAACTCGAGATGCCAACTATTTGGCTCTGCAGGTGTCACAGTGAGGGTAGGAGAAAGCAGGGTTGCTCTGTTGCTGTGAATGGTTCTTCCTCCCGTCTTCAGAAGGTCCTTTGGCTACAAAAAGGCAAGCTCTTTAAATTATAATTCTGGAGAGGACCACTACAAACAATGGAGTAATTGTTCTTGTATGTGGGGGAAGGTGTACTTTGGCTTTGGGCACTGCCAGGGAAGTGTTACTCCCAAACTCTCCTTAGCCTTCTGTGCAGCAACAATACCCAGTATTTGCCAAAAAAATGAAACTGTTTTACCTGTTGAATCCAAATCTCTTAAATAAGAGAAATCTTTTCTATTAAGTCATGCGCTTCCCCCTTAATGCACATCTCGGTCATCTCTGAATTCTTTGCAATTTTAACCAACGGGTATTTCAAAAAACCAGATTGAAGTACTAAGAGTATGCTTTTGAAGATCTCCTGCTGATGTGAAAGTGGAAATACTGGATGTGAAAAGAAATGTTCTCATGGTCTGTAACCTTTACCACTGCAGGGACTCCTCTTTAAGGCGCTCATGTGAGATCATGCCTCTCCCCTGAGATTATCTTAATGCCGTAGCATGCTGAACTTCCCTCGGTGGTCAGGCAGTGCTGAGAAATGGGAGCGGTCTTGACTGAAAACAAAACCTTAGCAAAATTGTCAGTCACTTCCTTCCAAGTGACCCCAAGGACCAGAGAAGATTCAATGAGTAAGGATGTTCCTTCTCTGCCCTGCAAAAAGCAACTCCTGATGACTATTGGCTCTTTTTAATAGCATCTGCCAAGAAATCACAAACCTAGTGTGGGAAGTGAAAAAGTTTCAAACAAATACCGTGGATGCAATGTTTTGGTGACAACTAAAGTTGGGTGTTGGCAGGCAGAGAACCACGCAATTTTGATAGGGTATTTGAGGATGTGCTCAAGGGTGCCCCAGTGTTTTATCTAGAAAATACTTTGAAACTGATTCGGTGTACCTTAGGCTCAGTTTGTGCGCTGAGATCTTCTGCCCTGGGCAGCTCAGCTCATAAGGTGTTGTGATGCAGAGGGAGCAGGCTCTGCAGCTGCCGTTTCTGTGCAACTGTCCCGGCTAATGATCTGTGTTTGCTTTGAACAGGTGGGTCCCTTGTTGAATATGATGATTAAGGGACGGTATGACTAATGCCTGGCTGCCCGGGTGACTGATGTTGGAGCTGCTTTGTTCACAAGCAATGGAAGATACTGAGCGCTAGTATTGCACGCAGCACTTAACAGACTGATGGGTTTCCTGGCCCATCCCTGCCCCACTACAATAAAGGGGGCTACTGGAACTGCAAAACCGTTAGTACCCCACTCATCCTCCACTCATCTAACCGAACCTCCCAAGAAAGAGTCTGCACTTATTGGAAGCTGGATTTATGCTCACTAACTTGTTTTTTCTCCCTCTGCCCTGTTTGCCACAACAAGGAGCATGGCTTCTGGCACTCGGATGCGTTGCTTCAGGATTTTCAGGTGTTTGAAGAAGAGCTTGGAGGGGAACCAGGAGTGATCTTATTTCCTCAGCCTCATGGGGTTTGGTCCTCCTGGCTGGGTTTTTGTGTTGGTGCCTGCAGTGGATATAAGATGGAAAGTGATAGCTTTCACAGTCCTCTGTTGTTAGAGGACATGTCCATGCTCAACTCTGGCACCTTTTTCTGTAACGGAAATGAACATGTGAGATGGCCTGTGTGTGATGAGCAACGGGACAAACGATTCAATTTCTTCAACTTCAGACATCTATCCTTTGGACTTAGTACAGGGTAGAGATCAGTGAATTCATTTAGTGTGTGAGTGCCAAATCCTGTGCTCTCCAAATAACATCTGTGGTGTAGGAGTCTAGATAAACCTCCTTTCTGACCGCTTTCTCTGGGGAGTGAAGGCTTCTCTCCCACTCTTCTGAAGCTGCAGTGTGGTTAAAAGGGGATGTAGCGTTATGAAGGGAGATGCATAAATGCCAGGGCACTCTCCAAGTCTTGAATGATTAAGCCACATTTTTAAATTAAAATCCCCAGGGGTGCCGAGCTAGACTATCAAAATGCAGTGTCAGATAGGTACAGAGCCTCGGACTAACACGGGAAAGTGCCCTTTTTATTGAAACTCCAAGAACTCAAGTGTGTGTGGCTGCGCAGAGGTGCGCATGTTTGTGTGATGTTGTGTGGCTCCTGTCCATCAGTTAAATCCATGCCAGTGTGTGGTTCCCTTCCTTGTACAGTCACGTGAAAGAGGTCAGGGCTTTCTGTTTAAACGTGGTTAAGTTTATCTTGATCCTTTTTGTGTTCCAGGACTTGACATGGCAGGTCAGGAAGTGACAAGGCCAGGGCATAGGAACCAGACAAGCCTCTGTTTGAGTCCTCAGCAATCACTCTGAAAAATCATTTTGCTTTCCTCCTCTTCCATGGAAAAAAACCTTAGGCTGATAAGGAGGCTGGCTTTTTATTCCCTGAGGTGTGCTGCACCGCTGTCCCCGGTTTTGGGGGTGGTGCAAAGGTCTTGTATGTTTGATGCGGTTGTAATGGGTACCAAGAGCTAGAGGTGGGAGAAGCTGTTTCATAGCCCGTATATCTCGTCCCAGAGAATAGTGGGGAATTTGTTCTGTTGAGACTTCCCATTGTTTTCCCCCTTGTTCTTTGGGGCTTGTTCTGACATGGGATTCTGATAAATGTCTTGAGAACATGCTGTTCAAGACGCGCTCTGTCTTAGGCCTCGGGCCCCATCTTTTGCTGGGACAGCTCATGTGCCACTTGCTCTGAGCTTGTCTTGCACAAAGGTGAAAGGCTTCTCGAACAGGAGGTCCCAGGGGCTAGTTTTCTAGCTGCTTTACAGGTCAGAACAAATGAAGTGTGATTGGCAGCTGCAGGGTCCTTGTTTAAGAAATATGTCTGTGTCACTGAGTAGTCTGACTGCCATGTTGCTTGTTGCAGACTCTCCAGAGCTGTGGTTAGATCCAGACGAAGGTCACTCAGCTGGATACTTACCAATGCTCAGCCTTTGGGCAGGTGGGGAAGAAGGCTAAGCTGCTGACTCTGGCCAGCCAGGGCATAGGAACCAGACAAGCCTCTGTTTGAGTCCTCAGCAATCACTCTGAAAAATCATTTTGCTTTCCTCCTCCTCTTCCATGGAAAAAACCTTAGGCTGATATGGGGCTGGCTTTTTATTCCCTGAGGTGTGCTGCACCGCTGTCCCCGGTTTTGGGGGTGGTGCAAAGGTCTTGTATGTTTGATGCGGTTGTAATGGGTACCAAGAGCTAGAGGTGGGAGAAGCTGTTTCATAGCCCGTATATCTCGTCCCAGAGAATAGTGGGGAATTTGTTCTGTTGAGACTTCCCATTGTTTTCCCCCTTGTTCTTTGGGGCTTGTTCTGACATGGGATTCTGATAAATGTCTTGAGAACATGCTGTTCAAGACGCGCTCCGTCTTAGGCCTCGGGCCCCATCTTTTGCTGGGACAGCTCATGTGCCACTTGCTGTGAGTTTGTCTTGCACAAAGGTGAAAGGCTTCTCGAACAGGAGGTCCCAGGGGCTAGTTTTCTAGCTGCTTTACAGGTCAGAACAAATGAAGTGTGATTGGCAGCTGCAGGGTCCTTGTTTAAGAAATATGTCTGTGTCACTGAGTAGTCTGACTGCCATGTTGCTTGTTGCAGACTCTCCAGAGCTGTGGTTAGATCCAGACGAAGGTCACTCAGCTGGATACTTACCAATGCTCAGCCTTTGGGCAGGTGGGGAAGAAGGCTAAGCTGCTGACTCTGGCCAAAAGCAAGGCCTTCCCAGGAATCCTGGGCACATGCCCTTGGTTGAGAGATGCTCAAATGAAATCCCATCTCTGTGCTATTTATTCAGCACATGGTAGTCTCCAGTACTACTTGTTAGGCACCATCAACTCTTGAAGCTCAGGGTGGGAGTTCATATCCCATGTGGAGAGAGAATGGTACTTACAGAACTTTAGGATCCTTTCTTTTTCTTTATTTGCCAAAGGTCTAACTTTTAAAGTGTCTGAACAGGTTTTGCTGCACTTGACTTCGTGAAAGCTCATTTACAATGCACTGATGGACTGACTCCTCCCCTTCCCTTGTCACCTTGTGCTTTCAATGCCCCTTGCCATGGTATTGGGAAGCTGTGTGTGTTCTCTGCTAGGGGTGTGTGTGCAGGGGGTGGGGTGTGACAAACACACGGTACCTTCTGAAGTGTAGTTCTTAAATACAACCAATGTTGAACAACAGAACTGTGTGGCTTTTATTTTCTGAGTGGCTGTACAGGAGAGCTGCATAAGGAGATGTGCATGTAAAACTACCTTTCAGTCTTTTTAATAACTCCGCTTGTGTTCTTCACTGGTGAAAGCTGCTGGTCTCCAGAACTGCCTTCAAAACAGCAATACCAACTGCATTATGGTGTGCCTTCACGACTTTCTCTGTACTACTTCCGTAAGCCTGAAAGGAAAGCTGGGAATAAAATGGTATCCTTGTGCCCTCTCAACAACAAGCGTTGGTGGGGAGGGAACAAACTCCTCTCCCTGCTGACCTGAATGGTGTCACCATGGAATCACTGATGGAATGACAGGGCAAACTACACTATCAGGTCTAATGAGTTCTGTCAGTTGCTTATCCTTTGGGTATCTTGTCCTCCGTTTGGTCCTTTACCTGATTCATACTTTGGTCAAAGAGATTTTTGGGGGAGGCTTCCTCTGTGTACCTCTGCTGTATGTTAGCAGCCTTGGGTGATGGAGTCCTCTCTACCTAATAAAGACACGGGTTATTTTATGGTAATATTAACTCTATAGCAATCTTGTCATCTAACCATCAGTGAAATGTTGGCTAAATCCGAACAAATTTCTAATGTGTAGTAAAATGGGGAAGAGTTGAATAGAGATTAGGGATGTTGGGGGTGGGGGGGGGAGAGAGACACAGCTGTCTGGGCCTAGGGTACCGCAGTTGGCATTCTCTCCTTACACCTTGGGGGAGAGGGTGAATGTGGAGGGAGTAGGAAAGACGGGTGGATAAAGTTGTCTGTGACCATGGGTGTTCACCCTTCCCTGCTGTGCCTGCTGGAATCATCTCTGAACACACAGTTGCTTCTGTTCTACTGAACTTAGTTGTCTATTATGTCTGATCCTGTAGTTGTTCTGTTGTGCGCATGCCTCTTGGGTAGCGTGCACGGCTGATACCACAAAGCTCAGAAATGTCTCAGGTTGTGCAGAGGAAGCTGAGGTATGAGAACTCTGTCATTTGAAAAGCAGATCAGACGCCAAGATTTTTCACTTGTACTTTTGGTGTTTTTCTTGTTTGCTTTTATTACCTTAGGTTCTGTAATACCTTTCTTCTCTTTTGTTTCCCCCATTTCTCTGTTCCTTGAAAAGTGAGATTTTCCTAAGGAGAAGTGACCTCTCTCCTAATCCTTGTAGATTATGGCTGCAGGATCTGTCCCGTGGAAAGAGAAGAGCGTGGGTTTTTAGACTGATGCACTGTTTTACCCCCTTGGTGATCAGGGTCAGGCTCAGCTCAGTGATGACCCAGGAAATTTGGAGTGATAAAGCAGGTCCAAGGTGAACCGAGGATCAGGGCCAGGGTTGAGGAGGTATGAGACACAGCTGCGAAGCAGGGGCAGTCTAACACAGGTGGGGGTGAAGAGGGAGACACTCAGCACCAAAGCAGCTCTTGAGGGA